GGTAAAGCTGAGGAAGAGGAAACTGGAAGCCTCAATATCATGATTTGACTCTGACTTCCACGAGGCAGCAATTTGGCCCTTTACAAAATCCCTGGTATTTCTTAGAGCATCACCACTCAGAGTTAACCATCAAATTAATCAGGAGCTGTGAACATTTTTCATTATAAAAATGTGGAAAGTGGAGACTTCTGGCATCTTAACTGAAAACCTGAACCACCTTTAGGATTTTTCTGGTGTAATGTGACACCTTTAATATAGCAAAGTATCTCTGTGACATTTCACACCAGTTCCTGTTGAGGCCTTGCCAGACTTTTTCCACTGCACACTTCAACATCCTTTAGACTAAGCAAACGCTTAATTGAGGAAAGTTACAACAGATGTTAATTTCTTTAATTAAGCCCCAAATCATCACTTACAAAATTGTTAGGGCTTTTAAAAATCCTAACACTTTCAGGCTTTTTCATGTATTCTATGGAACTATCTAAAGGTATCTTTGGCACTTAGATTGTGCTGCTCTGGTTCTGCAATGCTCAACTTGAGCTAGCAGGACCCAGCATGCAATTATGAGACCCGAACAGCTCCTGAAGTACACACAGTGTCGGGCTTCCAGCAATTATTTCTGTGATCCTTAAGACAGAGGTTGTACAGAGACAGAATTGCTCCTTTAGGTAATTACATTTCCAGGGCTACATGGTGCTTGTCAAACTCTCACCCCTCTACATTGCAGGCCAGTTTTTGTAGATCATTATGAAATAAATGTCATCCTGAAGGATGAAAATAAAACAAGCTGTAGCTCATCTGTACCTAAACATAATCAAGTCACAACTGTAAAGAAACACAAAACTTTGCTCCCTGAGAGCATATGGGACATGGATGAGTTCCCATCACATACACAGGCCTTTATCAACTAGGACACACAAATAAGCTATCATTTGTTCACGGAAAGGTAAAAATTACTGTGTGGGAGGTGTCACTGTTGCAGACAGAGCAGTAGAGGCTCTAGACCATCCTGAGTGATCTGTCCCAACAGTGACATTCTCTATTAAGCTTTGTTCTGACAAAATTCCCACTACTGGAGAAAGGAAATGCAGTATTCTCCTCCTTTTTTCTGTGATGCTGGATGTAAAGCTTGGAAAGCACAACTGCCTTAACCATGTGGCAGGAGGATGGTAGTTTGTAATTAATATTTTACATCAACTGTTGGCCACCCACCTCTTCCTCTCTGCCAGGCTGCAAACTGTCAGTGGATACTTATCCAAAGAGCAGACATGCCACAGAAAAAAACCCCATGATTATTAACAGCTAATACTTCATATTGCGTGCTAGCCAAAAATAAGAGATAAGCAAGCCTGGGAGCAGTGAGAGCAGTGCCAGTGCAAAGGCAGCCCTCCCTGAAGCTGCTTTTCATCTAAGAGATGCAAAAATGAAGGGGATAGAAAAGCAGGATGCTGACAATGAGTTAGACAGAAGGCTGCAAGCAGATATAGAAAGGTGTTCTCAGAAGAAGGCTTTGAGCCAGGTACTTTCAAAACTTCTGAAGCCCAAAGAAAGACATGCCTTTCTCCACACCAGCTGGTCTCTGCCCAAGACATGGCTCACAGGCTACCAAGCAGCAGCTCTGCAGAGGACAAAGGGCTCCAAACTGCTTCATATTCTGAAAGAAAGCAGCTGTACTCCATTCAGACCTTGGTTAGCTTTTTCCAAACATCAGTATCCAAATTTCACACAGACTAGAGTGCAAAGTAATTACAATGAGGTCACTGGTCCTCACATGAGAAAGGTCTCCAGAAGAAAATAAACCACTAGTCCAAGATCTCTGAAGCAACACTACAAACATGAGAGACCAGAAGGCAGAGCCACAGGCTGACAGCCCAGGAGCAAGCCCATTGGTATGACGTTGGGCAGACTCATTAACTTCTCTGTACTTCAAGAGTATAGGCAAAGGACTATTATATTACTGCTCTGTGACTGATATCTTAAGAATCTCATGTTAGTTTTGGAGTTTCTGTTTGGTTTGGGTTTTTTGGTTTTATTTTTGTTTTGGTGGGATTTTTTGGTTTGGTTTGGGTTTTTTGGGGCTTTCCCCCCCCCCAGGAATTCAACTCAGTTCTGCTGCTGATATCAGCTTTTTAATTCATTGTACACCAAGATATTTGTTATCAGAAATGGTGCTGTGTGTCAGGTTGATGGATTCAATAAAAGCCCTGTCGAGAGAATTTGAGTGAGTAGGGTTGCAGAAGTGGTGTCATCAAGGAAATTGATACATTACCAGTCAGTCTGCTGATCTTGCAATATAATAGCCGTTTTATTTCCTCACCCGGGAAACAGTTCAAAGAAACACTAGAAAACATTTGCATAAATATTACTTATACAAACAAGCTCAGCACACTCATTGATTGAAAACTTACATAAAATTGATCCCGTGTGCTGTCCTGTTTTCCTGTTTGGTGTGCAGAATTCAGTCAAAACGAACAAAGAGTTTATTCAATGTAAAGTTTTGAATTTAACTTTGGGAATTCAGACATCCTGTGATGTCTCAACAGAAGTTTCCCTTCAGTAATGGAGGACAATTTCACTGACACATTTTCACCTGCAGCCAGTAGACCTGCATCCCTCATCAAGTCATTGGAGAGTTGGATCAAGCTCTTATTTGGACATCCAAACCCACAGGCACATAAAATCAGTGTTTGATTCTGATTTCAGAGATTAAATCACATACAAAGCAGGACAGATTTGAAGAGAGAGATAACTTTTTATCAGATTATATAATATAGGGAGTGAGGGAAGGACATATGCCAACTGCTCTGCTATCAGTCAAGCAAGGTGTGAATATGCCAGCTTTCTGCTTCACTTGCATCAGACCGTCAGAGCTGCAACCTTATTTCTGCACTGTCCTGGAAAGAAAGGAGATTTTGGCAACTTGAACAGATTCACAGAAATTTTGGGAATGGCAAAAAATGTTGAGATTCAACTTTTTAAAAAGACAAACAACATTACAGCCTAAACAAAAGAAAGGGAAAGGTTCCAAAGCAATTCATCGGAAAAAGGTGAATTGCATTGAAGATTTATGTCCATGTAATTAAGACAATTAATTGCTACCAAATCCATAGAACACATTAAAAGAACAGGTTTTTTTTCCAATTCTATTTGCAAGATAAAATTTATTAACTATGTTTAATGGCTACTTAAAATTTTTCTCTTGTATATCTATTAAATTAAATGTGCTTTTTCAGCAGAACAGAGCATTTGACTAACCAGATTCTACTCATCTAATAAATGAGCAATTTAAGAAAAAAATATTACTCTGCATGTTATCTACAGGTCTGTTTAAAATAATTCCTCACACAAGATTGCCATCACCACAATTGTGCAAATGCTGCTTAAAGGAAATCTGCTTCTCTCTCAAGAGCAAACAACATTCTGCTGCAAAGAGGAATGAGTTCACATAATAATATTTGGATTTAAGTTGCCATTTCCAGCAGAGATATGAAGCAAATGTGGATGTCATTCGGTGTTACTGTCATCACTTAACTAAAAACCTCTTTATTTGGGAAAGCCAGACACATGGAGGAAACTGGCTTAGATTGAAGCAGTGATCCAGCTGATCAGGCATCAAACTGATCCATATCCAAATCTCATGCTTTGCCCTGCAGACTCAGCTGCTCAGCCATAATAGAAGCATCAATATTGTTTAACAACCTCCTTTTCTAGAAACCAGGTGCTCCTGGAGAAGACAAACACAGAAAGTGCAGCCATGGTGTTAATGATGGGCACCTCTCCTCTTTGATACCAGTGTTGTTTTCTTGAAATGCCTGTACAAATTAACAGCATATGCTGTGGTCAGAACAGGCCTTTCTTGAACTGCAACATTTAAAAGTTAAGCACCTAATTTAGCTTTTTCCAACAACCTTTTATGCAGTTGCTGGAGACGGGCAGGCTCTGGACCAGCAGAGCTCTGCTGAAGCCTGAGTTTGAGTCTACAGTTTCCAGAGATAACACTCTGCAATCATATCAAAAGTAGAATAATCAATACACACTCACCTAAATGCTCCATGTTTTCTTAGAGACTTTGTTAAAAGTCTTGACTTCTTTTTATATAATTATTTTTTTCTCTCCCCTTCACTAACACCAGGTACAGGTGTTATATTGCTGCTGTAGTTTCCTCAACAAGACTATACTGCTGGTTCAGTCATATAAGAGAAGTCAAATAGGCATGTGTTAAATGAAAAAGGGTAGCATCATCTGATATCATTCTATTGGGATCTGGGAAATAACACTTGAAATTTTGGGTTTTTTTTAATCAGCAAACTTGGCCATAACAGAAAAAAAACTTGGCCTAGATAAAAGAAGCCACAATGTCAGAGGCTGTATTACCCTAAATGCTTCTACAGCACACGCTTTGTCCACAACATATTCCTCAAGTTCTGGCACTCAACTTCTTGTTAAAATAGATGTTGCACATCACCTTGCTACAGTCACAGCACAAGCAAGACAATGTTTGTAGGGATATCAGAACCTCTGTGCTACACAACAAAGGGGACACACACATGCAAGAAACTGGTATTATTTCCATCCCTGGCAAAAAACAAGAATATACAAAGCACAAAGGAAGGCACAGGGCTACATTACAAATTGGCTCTTTTTTTTTTTTTACCCATCTCTGACCCTCTGAACTGCAGACATCAGTGAAACACAACGAGTGGGGCTTTGAAAATGTGGATGCCTATTACCAAGCATACATCAACAAGAGCAAAACACAACCATCAGCAAGCATTTTGTTCAACAAAGCACTTGATATAAACAAGTGCCCCCTCAAGCCCAGGAGTTGAAAAACACTTCACTCTTGATGAACAACCTCCAAATTTTGGGAGAGTAAATGTTATTTACAGAGGCAGCTACATATGCAGCAAGAAACAAGAAGGCTGTTAATTATTCCAATTTATCCATATGTAGATATTCAGAAAAGAGCAAAATACACAAGCAGGGGGAAAACAACATACCTTACCAAACCTGAATGTTGGACATAACTCGTTTCAGAGCAACATTGGTGTGAAGGTAAGTTCCTCAGGCGATCACTGACTGCAATTCCTTTCCAAACTCCCCAGAGGCTCCAGCTCCTCTTTGTCTGTGTCCCTGAGGAAGATGCAGTGTTCTCCAGTATTTCAGAGCCTCAGCTGCAAGAGATGCTGTTCAGAGAAAGAAAAGATAAGAAGGTGTGGCATTAAATTCTAGGTTCAGTTGTTTGGCAGATTCAGAACACAGCATAAGACAACACTGGATAGGAATGAAATGTCAAGGCAGGACAAACAGTCTGTGACAATCTGTCATGTGTGGCACCTTTGCAGGGCAAGCTTTGAATTCAAGAACTGTGGTGCAAAGCTATTCCTGCTTTATAGTACTTTAATAGTGCCCTACACCAGGAAATGAATGCCAGCCCAACTGCTTTTTATTCCAGTCTGATATTGTAATAAGTAATACACTTCTCTATAGGGAATATTTTAATTCATTATGACATTTCTGCAGAATAACAGGACTTTCATATTAAAAGCAGAGACAGTCTCAGTCTTAATACTTCACACTACTAAAATGGTTCTCATTCAAGGAATTCAATGGGAAACAGTGATTGTCAGCCCAACACATAGCAATGGGTTCCGAAGTTCAGCCTACAAAGCAATTATCAGAGACAAGCAAATGGTCTGTGGTTTTCTGAGAGGCTGGTGTTTGGTATAACTATGTTTTCTAGCTCATTGTCACTGCTGGTGTTTCTGAGAGTGCAGACCCCAGCACTGAGCACGGATGTGGGAGCATCCCTGTGGACACTCAGGTGAGAAGAGAGTGATGGAGGCCACAGCCTGGCAGCAACCAAAAACCCTAAAGAAGCACCAAAAAGTCCAAACATTCATCACTGTCATGGCATGAATAATTCCTAATCTCCAGAATATGGGAAAACACTCAAAGGACCATCCTTCCTCCATCGGGACAAAACAGCCTGCAAAGATCAACATGGCAGAGTAGACCAAAGCAGGCGAGGACCAAGCAAAGACCAGGATCTGATCTCCTTAGGTTGGATACACAGACATCATGTGGTTTGTGGCCTTAAACCAGGCTCAGAGACACTTTTCTAACATTGACTCAACACAGCAGCTGTAAATGTATTCCAACTTTGCCTAGAGTGCAAAAGAGCAAAGACAAAAAATAATAAATAAAACCAGACAGATTTATTCCTTAGATGTCTCCTACACAAGAAAAAGCCTGTGGCAGCCTGAAATACCACAAAATCCCATTACATCTTCACAAAAATAATCCTGAACTCATAAACAGGTTCCCATTAGCTTTTGGGCTTGCAAGAAGGAAGATTTCAGTAATCATTGTGCAAAACTGTCTATACTGCAACTTAGCACCATACTGTGTTTTTTTTTTTTTTTTTTTTGGGGGGTTTTAAATAGATTTTATTTTTAACAAAAGTCCACATAGCAAGCATGGCCACATAGATCACAACAACCAAATATATTCACTTGATTTAGCACTAATTACTCCACTGGACTTTAAATGGTTTCTGTTACATATCACACCTAAAGGCTCCATAAGTGGAACAGCTTGTGAGATACCCACAATAGAAGTCAAGGTGGCAAAGCCCAGCCCAGCATTTCTTAGTACTTGTTTTCAGACCTTCTGCCTTTCTTGAACTCAGAAATGAAGGACAAAAATGGACCTTCACAGTTCCTGTCCTCTTCCAGGCTAACCATGAAAAATCAGACTGCCAACTGAAATGGCTGCTGAATGACTTATGGGTATAGAAATGGCTGATGCTGCAGTAGTTTGTTCTGCAGGTAGCAGCAAGATCTAATTCTACTGCTTTTAAGGGATTTCTATCTCCTGAGACCACAGTTACAATTACTTTTTCATTTCTGCTCATAAATTGTAACGCAAAACAGCCACCAAGTAAATCAGTATTTTTGTGCATTAACTATTGCACCAGCTGAGTTGAGAAGTAGAAGTAACAACAGTAGGACCAGGTCATCACTGCAAGCTGAGTGCAGAAGCCTGATCTCAAGTTGGAAGAGATGCATTTTGAAAGCTCCTATTTAGAATTGTTTGTCAATGTTCATCAGAGGCAAAACTCTTTGGTAAGAAGTTAACACATTGCCTTAGTATTCTGCACGCAGAGCTCCTGTACTGTCTGAAATCCTGCACTGCTGAGTGGATCACAAACTACAGTACAGGAATGCGCCTCCAGCTCCTGTCAAAGACCAAAAAAAACAAAACTACAATAAACTTCCTTCCAAACCGCTGCCGTCATGGGAACGAGAGCACAGCAGCAGAGCTGGAGAACCTTGCTGCTGAGCAGTTGCCTGATCCAGACCAAAAGTGTAGAGCACTACAGGGGTGGGAAGTAACAGGAGGCACGGACATGAGTGCAGAGAGAAAAACAGCTTTAGCCATGACAAAATGCAATGACTGTGCATTGTTCCCTTGTATCTCTGATACAAGCACTTGTTGCAAACATCCCTAACGCCCACGCTGCAACAAAACAGAATGAAACCTGTGGCCAGGACTCTGGTGAGCAGCACAGTGTAGATGCTCCAGCCAAGATGCAAGATACCTCCTCCATGCTTTGATGATGAGCATCACACAAATACAGAGGGAGGGAGGCAAACTAGAGACCATTCCAAGTCAGCAATATAGTAAGGTAAAAGGCCACTAACAAAATGCAAGAAAATCTTCCCTCATGAGCTACAGTTTGTGTTGGCTCAGAACTTTCCTCAGGACAAAAACCAAACTAAACCAAACAAAACAAACAAACAAAAAAAAGTATATCAGTCCTCTTGCCCAAACCTTTCAATATTGCAGAAAACCCTTTCACATTCAGTAAGCCACTATTGACTTTCTGGTCAGTGTCCTAGCAGGTAACTAGTTTCCCTCTCACAGTCAAGGAACCTGGAGAGCCTATTACACATACTCCTCAGAGCTCTTTGAGTTTGGGCAGGTCTGGAGAGCAAGAGAGGGGGAAGAAGGGCTGGAGAAACCCAGGCTCTTGGTGGTCTGTCAGAGCCACTTCCCAAGCCCAGAGCTCCAGGACTGTCTCACAGCTGCAGTGAGACAGACACCAGCATCCCTGATTAAAAAAACCTAACACATCCGTTTCAGTCTGCAGCTGATGTAGGAGCTGGCACTGCTCCTATCTGAAACAAAACCAAGTCTGAACTTCTAGAAATGCCCACGTACTAGAAATTCCAGTTATAATTAGTTTCAACTAAGTAATTTCAGTTAGATTTTTGATGTAAAATTGTGTTCCCCCCAGTCTCCTTTGACCACAGGTAAGTGGTCAAAGTGTGGAGGTTAGTGCCAACAAACTCCAAATTACTTTTATTATTCCACCACTTCAGATTTTTACATTCTGTTTCTAGAGCCCTGGATTAAAATATTCAGGTGCATTCCTAAATTAACACAGTTAAGTGATATCAGATCAGTCTTCAAGTCACAAAAACAGGCATATAGATGTTCTCATTAATCAGAAAGGCAGACGACATTTTTCCAGTAAAGAGAGAGTATTTCCCTAGGAGGGATGAATTATACAAAGTAACTATACACTTCAGTGTAACAAATCAGATCAAATATTAAATTTGAAGATACCACTTCATCTTGAGATGTTCCCAGACCACAAATCAATGGAGGCTGGGTGACTTTCTCACAGGAAGCCTTGCTATACACCTCTGTCTTGTTCTCACACATTTTAGGCATCAGCTATTGATCACTGTCTGTGGGAGGACACGAGCCAGCTGAACCCTCATCTGACTCAGCATGGTCATCCTTGTATTTGGGTGTCTTACAGCTTAAGGTGCAGCTTGGGCCTTGTGGCTAGATATGCCAACAATGGTCAGCAGTCACAACTTTAGATAGGGCAAAAAAGTATCTAGAAGCTGAATGAAATATTTGCAAGGTAGTGTTGTGGTAGAGTAGATATTCAAATCAGTAGTTTGTCTCATAAAAAATTAATTACAACCTACCTAATTGCAATTGAAGAAGTCAGTTCAGCATAGAAATTATAAAGTATTTAGAGTCTGATGACTAAAAAATAATTGAAACTTTATCTCCTTGTTTAAATATTACATTTCTCTATTTTTACTGCTAGTGTAACCAATAAGGAACCAAAACTCCGTGTGTGTGCAACACATTCAGGTATATCTAACGTGTTCATGTGTAGTCCCATAACTTCCTTCTTTCCCTCTTAACTAAACTGACATAAACGTGTTTGACTAATACAGAGGAGCTCTACTGGTAGAGCCAGAAGAAAAGCTGTGAAACAGGGAAAGGAAAACACATTTTTATTGCTAAGTATTTAACAAGGTCAAACTCTGTAAGCACAAGAAAAAAGATCCCACAGCAACCTCTGAACACAGCAGGGGATTATATCAATTCATTAGCAGGTATATCTTCTAATTGCAGCCTTGGACATTAGTCTTTATGCAGCTGAGTAGGCAACAGCTGCTGCATGTTGCCATATCCTTAGGATTGAGTTCACTGTTTTCTACTGAGCTTCAGGACAGCAGGGCTTAATGCAATGCCACTATTCCAGCTTCAGCTGACACCAAAGGCACTCAATTTTCTCAAAGGATATTCCTCACTCCTCACTACTCAAATCCAAAGAGCAGCCCACTTCTACAGTTCATGGGATTTGTTCTTCTGTTCCTGCTGCATCAAGGAGCTGTAGGACCAACAACTCATCCTGTCAGCTCCATCTCTGGTAAAGATCTCACATTAATTTAGTGTAAAGGTGACACTGCTGAAGAAGTAAATAAAATGAGGTTTTGAGTTCCTCCTTCCAGAGGGCTAATGGTAAAAAATTGGTAGCAATGCAACCTTGGCACCTTTCCAGCTAGAACACTTAGAGCATTGCCCATGACTGTGTCCCAGACATAGTTTGTCATTCATGATTGCTCAGTACAAAACATAAATAAAACAGTAGTCGCCAGCACTCCTGGCACTCAGCTGTTTTGAGGCCTTTTTTCATTCCCTGCCAACAAAACAAATAGTGAAACAGCAGAACTGCAATTCAAGTGATAACGTCCGCAAGAAGGAAATTTGTTGGAGGCTGGTGGTGTGATGGAGTTCCTCAGGAAATTAACTCGATTAAAGAGTGCAGGCAATACTAAAATGAAGAATATATTGACTGAGATTAATATAA